TTAGTTGGAGGCTAATTACTTCACAACATTTCAGTGGGTTTTGTCATACATTGACATGAATCAGCCATGGAGTTACGTGTATTCCCCATCCCGATCCCCCCTCCCACCTCCCTCTCCACCCGATCCCTCTAGGTCTTCCCAGTGCACCAGGCCCGAAATGTGGTGTTGGAGAAGACTCTTGAGAGTCCCTTGGACTGCAAGGAGATCCAACCAGTCAATCCTAAAGGAAATCCATCCTGAATATTCATTGGAAGGACTGATGCTGAAGCTGAAATTTCAATACTTTGGCCACCTGATGCCAAGAACTGATTCATTTGAAAAGACACTGATACTGGGAAAGATTGAAGGCGGAAGGAGAAGGGGATGAGAGAGAATGAGATGGTTGGATGGCATCACAGACTCAATGGATATGAATTTGAGTAATCTCCTGGAGTTGGTGATGGACAGAAAGGCCTGGCATGCTGCAGGCTATGGGATCGCAAAGAGTCAGACACAACTGAATGACTGAACTGAACTCTTATCCTCACAGAAAGAAAAAAAGGATTTATTTATCAATTAGTCTATAAAGTAGACAGCATATCTTATTTATATTCTTTTCTCATCTGGAAAGTCAATTCATTCAGTAAAATCAAATGGATTTTCTAACAGACATTACATTCATTTGTCCATTCATTTCCTGGATGCTTAAAGATTGGATGCTTAAAAGATGAAATGATAAATGAAAGGATGAATGGTCCAAAGGGAAAGATAGGAAAACCATAGATTATGCACCATATAACTTGTTTAGGCCAGTGGTTCCTGCCCTGGTCCACCAAGGCAAAGTATCATGGATGTAAGGGAGGCATCTGAGCTTGAGGTATAGGATTCCAGAAAAGAATCAGTAATGGCATGAAACTTAGGGATTACAGATGAGGAAACTGAGGCTCAGAGATGAGATCCTGCTGATACAAAAGCAAGATTGGCAGTAGGAACCCGATCATTTTAATTTCAGGCCATAGATGAGAGAGAAAAAATAAACTGGGTTTGGGGAGAATGGAATTAAATGAAGTAATGTTTGGATGACATGACAAAACACTCAGTTGAGTTGGAGGGAAACTGTGATTGGCCTATATATTTTTAAGGTCTTTTTTTTTTCATTAAAGTGATAGACATGCAGTGTATTAAGAGAGAGAATGTGAAAAAGGTGGATTAAAATGGGATAAGTGAAGTGTTAATTGCTCAGTTATGTCCAGATGTTTGTGACCCATGGCCTGTATCCCACTGAGCTCCTCTGTCTATGGGATTCTCCAGGTAGGAATACTGGAGTGAGTTGCTATTCCCTTCTCCAGGGGGTCTTCCACACTCAGGGATCGAACCCGGTCTCCCACATGGCAGGTAGATTCTTTACTTTCTGAGCCACAAGGGAAGCCACAAATGCAATAAAGCTCAGCAATAAAGAATCCACCTGCAATGTAGGAGACACTGATGTGGCCTCTGGGTTAGGAAGAACCCCTGGAGAAGTGAATGGCCACCCACTCCAGCATTCTTGCCGTTTGAATTTCTTTAAAGAGGAACCTGGTGGACTACAGTTCATGGGGTCTCAAAAGAGTAGGACAGGACTTGGCAACTAAACAGCAAAACAGTTCATTAGGCATAAAGGAAAGCAAGAAATAAGAAGGACAATTCTACTATCGTAAGCAGGATAGATCTGAAAGACATAATGGCTCTGGATATGAAATACTTTATTCACAGTTATGTGAATTCATTCATTAATGAATGGGTTAATTCATTTTTAGTTTATCATTCTATTTCTTATTTGCTTCTGAGTTAAAGGAAATGGAATGTAGACAAAATCATCAAGAAGAGGTGAGCAGAAAGACTTTTTATTATGACTCTTGATTCCATTTCTGAGGCTAATTTAATTCTTCATTCATCAGGGCTCAGTAATATGGCTTTTTATTAGCCATTCCCTATATGCATCCATTCATGTATTTTTAAACAATCAGGAGGGGCTTCCAAGTTTTTTCAGACAAGTTTGGAAAGGTTCAAAATAAATGACTCTCTATGGGAGTAATTTTGGTATTGGAGGAACAGTTTCTTAGAATTACCTGCTGAGATTATTTTTTAAAATTTATTTAGCATCTCTTCCACAGCGAAACCTGAGAGCCTCCTCCCGATTAACCCCTCCCTGTGTCAGGGGCTCTCACTTCCTTCCCAGATGATCTACTGTTAGCCGTGGAAGTAGATAAGGCCTTTAGTTACATGAGAGAAGAAAATAAATGTACTTGAAACCTAGCTTAATTACACAAAATTGAAGCTTCTTTTCCTGAATTCAACGTTAAAACAAAGAAGCAAAACAAGCCCAACAAAATTATAAAACTTTCAAATAATTGTTTTGATTTCATTTTTAGTTGAATACTTTTCCATATCAATGCATTTATAAAACTAGCTTTACAAGTTTTAAAATGAATGAAAAAGAGATAGTTTTTATTAATTGATGCACAAACCATCTCATTCTGGCTTGTATGAAAACAAAGAACAACACAATAATGATTTGTTATTCTTCACAATTTGTTCTCGGAATAATACAAGTGAGTCAAGCAGGACAAATTTAGGAAATAATAGAAAATGGAGATAAAATGAGCCCAATGGTCAATGCATACTGATTTGGGTGGAGTTTCTAAGTTCCAGCTGCTTTTTCCATGAAAAAGGAATATATTCAAGTCATTTTTAATGAGATGGATGAACCTAGAGCCTTTTATACAGAGTGAAGTAAGTCAGAAAGAGAAAAACAAGTATTATATATTAACATATATATATATGGAATCTAGATAGATGGTATTGAAGAACATATCTGCAAGGCAGCAATGGAGACGTAGATATAGAGAACAGACTTATGGACAAGGGTGGGGGAGAGGAGGAGAGGGTGATATGAATGGACAGAGTATCATGGAAGCATATACACTACCATATGTAAAATAGAGAGCCTATGGAAATTTTCTGTGTAACTCAGGGACCTCGGACGGGGGCTCTGTAACAACTTAGAGGAGTGCGAAAAGGTGGGAGGTAGGTTCAAGAGGGAAGGGACATATGCACACCTATGGCTAGTCTATGATGATGTATGGCAGAAACCAAACCAATATTATAAGACAATTATCTTTCAGTTAAAAATGAATAAAATTTTTAAAAGTTGAGCAGAAAATTGTCTCCCTCAATTTTTTTCTTTTCCCTCTCAATACATCATTAAAGTGTGACTAGTTTCTTCCATTATCTTTGACTACAACTAACTTCTTTACTTCCTTCCTACCTCCTTCTGTTTCTTCTTTCTTTTTTCCTTCTTCTCTTTCTTCTTCTCTGTTACTCTCTTTCATTCTCACTCTTCTCCCCAACTCCTTCTTCCCTTCTCTCCTACCTTCTACCCTCCCTGCCTTCCCTCTGCTCTTCTGCCTTCCTTCTTCACTTTTTCTTTATTTTTGGAAGGCACTTGCCTTACCAGGCATCTCTCTACTTCTACCACAACTCTGGAACTTTTTATTTTCTCACATAAGGGTAGCTAAAACATAGATTTCAAATAATTATTTTTTCCTTGTGTTTTATGAGAAAGTTATTAGAAAAAGTGGGATAGTGTAACAATTGTGGCATGTTATCTTCAATCAGTCATTTTGCACCAACTTTTGAAGACTCAGCAGAATCATTTTACTTTAGTCTATATCAAAATCCTCATCTTTTCTTCTAAAAAATGATGTAGTAGACATTGATGTCAGCAATTGTCTTAACTTTGCAGGATCTCTGAGAAAAGCTGTTTCTTAAAGTGATTCTGGGGCTCAGAGAACCAAAGAAAGTTTTGAACTAGATAAGACAGGCTCTTTCACACTCAAAGCCAAATCAAAACAAAACAAACAAACAAACAAAATACAGACATTATTAATTAGTGGATTTACAGCTGCCCACACTTTGACAAGAAGTTTGGAAAATCAGTACCAAACATGTTAAGCCTCTTTTTCTTAAGTTCAAATAGTTTGCTACTGACGGATACTACTAGTATATTTTTCTATCATGAGGGAGAAATATATTTGCATCAGTGTTTTATAGGATTAAGTGTGTTTTGTACCTATTAAATTAAAAGTCTCTGATGTGAGTTTTTTCAAACAAATCACTAAAGCAGCTTGGTTAATAAAAATGTGAGTTCCAAAAGAAATGGTTTTGCCTAAGACTCAGATAACTGAAGGGAGTGTGTGCTGAAGGAATGTATTAAAAAAAAAAAAAACCTCCATTCTGGCATTTACTTGAATTCATATGAAATTAATTACCAAGAAGAATTTGTCTTCTCTTATTTGACAGATAGCCTTATGAATATCCAAAGGCATTCTCATAACCATGAACTGTATAAAAGCATGTATATTTGGAATGCATTATAAACATCTTGGGCAGCTTCAGTCCTTGGAGGCTAGAGAGGGCTGATGGAACAGAAAGGGAGCACTGATTTATTATAATGCTAAATAGTTTACCAGAGGTGTCCGTGATCTGGCTCTGGAAATACAGAGCTAATCTAAGGGAGAGACTCCTGAGGATTGTACTCTAGCTGCAAGCATAGACATGATGTTTGATACTACCTTGTTGTCTATAATTCCTGCATCCGCACATAATTGAATATCATGCTGGGGTTATGGAAGCACAAAGGCAGCCCCTCCAAGTCTGTCGCAACAGGTGGAGTTAGGTGCTTTGCAAGTGCCGTGGTACATCTTAGTAAACTCATTTGTGCCTTAGATGAGTCCCTCTCTGGCTTAGTTTCTCTCCATTGCAGTTTACCCTGTTTTATTTGAACTGTGTGGATTTGACAAAGCTGCTAAACTTCTCTGAATCTTAGGTTGTCTAGTTGTAAATTGAGAAACTTCACCATGACGCTGTTTCTATTTACAGTTGAAATGCAGGTAAAACCCTGTGTAGCTGATCTATGATCTGAGAAATGTTCTAACACTTGAGTTTCAAATAACTTAATTATAATTTAATTAAAAACTTACTGGTGAGAATGGACAGCAAGGTCTTTCGGCATAATTGTCACAGCATAGTGGAGCTGATAGCCTCGAAAAGGTGTTCTGTCTCCCTGCGTGCCATAGAACTTCCTACATTGTTGAGTAGATATTCTATATTGATTTTGTGCAATACAGTGGATACTAGCACCTGTGCCTAACAAGTCCTTGAAAGGTGGTTACTGTGAATGAAGAAATTATTTTTAGTATTAAATGATGAAAACTGAAATAATCACATGTGGTCAGTGGCTACTATGTTGAACAACACAGATTCTAGGCTATACCTCTTAAAAATCTTTTATTTTTTTTTTAAATTGGGGTATAATTGCTTTACAATGTTGTATTAATTTCTGCTGTACAACTAAGTGAATCAGCTATATATATACATATATCCCCTCCCTCTTGAACCTAAAAATCTTGACACTATATGTGATTACGAAGTACCTGTTGTGTACTATTTACTCAACCATAGTTAAAAAAAAAATGCTTAGGATTTTACTCTATCTTCTTGTTGTTGTTTAGCATATCTATGTGCCAGGGATTTTGGTAATGACTTGATATAGTATGTTATTTGGACAGCAAGGATATCAAACCAGTCAATCTTAAGGGAAGTCAACACAGAATACTTGTTGTAAGGATTGATACTGAAGCTGAATTGGTCATCTGTTGTGAAGAGCAGGCTCAATGGAAAAGTCCCTGATGCTGGGAAAGATTGAGGGCAGAAGGAGAAGAGGGCATCAGAGGATGAGACAGCTGAATGGCACCACCGATGCAATGGATGCAAATTTGGGCAAACTTTGGGAGATGGTAGAGGAAAAAGAGGACTGGCGTGCTGCAGTCCATGGGGTTGCAAAGTCAGACACGACTAGGGGACTGAATGACAACAACAATATGTTATTTAAGTCATGGTCCACGGTCCTCAGGTAGTACATTGACTACTAAAAATGACAGGGATATTTATGAAAAATCCTATGACACTCATGTGTTGCTTGTTATAGGAGACCACAGAGTACTCCTGGAATACAGAGAAAGGAATTTACATCTGACTAAAAGGAAATGCTTCCTCAAAGATGTGACATTTGAATTGAGTCCAAGAAATAAGAAAAAAAAAGAAAGAAAGAGTGGGATACAATCAATAGAAAAACTGCCATCAATAAACACTTAGAATTTCCAGATAAAATAAAACAAGATAGTCTTATGCTTATAAGAGAAAAAGAAATAGGAAAAAGAACTTCTCAACTTTTAAAAAGAAAAGAAAACTGACAACTAGATTAGTAAATATGTGTACTAATATTGCAGCTGAACTATATTGACACTGGAGGTTATTGCTCTTTATGCTCTAGAAACTTGGGATTTGAAATCACCTCAGGATACCAGACAAGGTCATAGGAGTGGAAACAGAGATGTTCATAAGCCCAGCATCCTAAAGAAAAGGGCTGAACCCTCTGTGAAAGGTGCTGACTTTGCAGAGAGAGCACTGTCTCTAAGGCAGTGATTCTCAGACTTGGCTGCATACTAGCATCACCTGGTGGGGAGGAAAAACAAACAAATGCACAACAAAAGACCAAGAAGCAAGGATGCCAAGGTTATATCATGGGGACTAATTAACTCAGAATAACTGAGCATTCATATTTATTTAGAGCTCCATGGCCAACCCCAAAGTGCAGCCAAGTTTGAGACTGCTGTTGGAGGTGATCTTCTCTGAAAATTTAGAGCCCCACATGTCACAGAAGTGGAGATTTAAATTTATTCTGTTGCCTTGAGCAGAAAATCATAATCAGATATATTACCAAGAATAGCCTTCCAAAATTGTTGATATTCCTGGGTCTCCCAGCAAAAGCACCCGGGAGGGATTCAACTTGGGATACAAAGAATCCTGTAGATAAAAGCATTTTCTTTCAAAGTTAAACACAAAACAACAACCAACAACAACAGCAAAATCCAGGAAGCACAAACACATCTCACCTGTATTCTTATTTTTCCTCACACAACTTGACACAAAATTGTGCTTAACAGATTGATATAACACATGTTGCACATCTCACAAGTCTATGGTTGGAATTTATTATCAATCCCAGAGTATAGGAGATGGTGACCAAAACCATCCCCAAGAAAAAGAAACACAAGAAGGCAAAGTGTTTGTCTGAGGAGGCCTTACAAATATCTGAGAAAAGAAGAGATGTGAAAGGCAAAAGAAAAAGGGAAAGATATGCCAAACTGAAAGAAGAGTTCCAGAGAATAACAAGAAGAGATAAGAAAGCCGTAAGTAAACAATGCAAGGAAATAGAGGAAAGCAATAGAATGGGAAAGACTAGAGATCTCCAAGAAAATTTGAGACACCAAGGGAATATTTCATGTGAGTTCAGTTCAGTTCAATCTCTCAGTCATGTCTGACTCTTTGCAACCCCATGAATCGCAGCACGCCAGGCCTCCCTGTCCATCACCAAATCCCAGAGTTTATGCAAACTCATGTCCATCAAGTCGGTGATGTCAGCCAGCCATCTCATCCTCTGTCATCCCCTTCTCCTCCTATCCCCAATCCCTCCCAGCATCAGGGTCTTTTCCAATGAGTCAACTCTTCACATCAAGTGGCCAAAGTATGGGATTTTCAGCTTCAGCATCAGTCCTTCCAGTGAACACCTAGGACTGATCTCCTTCAAGATGGACTGGTTGGATCTCCTTGCAGTCCAAGGGACTCTCAAGAGTCTTCTCCAACACCACAGTTCAAAAGCATCAATTCTTCAGTGCTCAGCTTTCTCCACAGTTCAACTCTCACATCCATGCATGACCACTGGAAAAACCATAGCCTTGACTAGACGGACATTTTTTGGAAAGGTAATGTCTCTGCTTTTTAATATGCTATCTAGGTTGGTAATAACTTCCTTCCAAGGAGTAAGCGTCTTTTAATTTCATGGCTGCAATCATCATCTGCAGTGATTTTGGAGCCCCCCAAAATAAAGTCTGACACTGTTTCCACTGATGGGCATAATAAAGGACAGAAACAGCAAGAACCTAACAGAAGTAGATGAGAATAATAAGAGCTGGCAAGAATACACAGAAGTACTGTACAAGAAAGTTTTAATGATCTAGATAACCATGATGGTCTGGTCACTCACCTAGAACCAGACATCCTGAAATATGAAGTAAAGTGGGCCTTAGGAAGCACTACTATGAACAAAGATAGTGTAGGTGATGCAATTCCATTTAAGCTATTTCAAATCCTAAAAGATGATGTTCAAATGCTGCACCCAATATGCCAGCAAATTTGGAAAAGTCAGCAGTGGACACATGAGTGGAAAAGGTCTTTTTTCAATTCCAATCTCAAAGAAAGGCAATGCCAAAGAAAGTGAAAGTGAAAGTCACTCATTCCTGCCCAACTCTTTGCAACCCCATGGACTATACAGTGCATAGAATTCTCCAGGCCAGAATACTAGAGTGGATAGCCTTTCCCTACTCCAGGGAATCTTCCCAACCCAAGGATCAAACATAGGTCTCCTGCATCACAGGCAGATTCCTTACCAGCTGAGCCACAAGAATGTTCAAATTACAGTACAGTTGCACTTATTTCACATGCTAGTAGATTATGCTCAACATTCTTTAAGCTAGGCTTCAGCAGTACATGAATTGAGAACTTCCAGATGTTCAAATTGGAAGTTTGAACTGGAAGAATTTCCAGATGTTCAAGCTTCCAGATGTTCAGATTTCTTAGAAAAAGCAAGGAAATCAGAGACCAAATCCCCCTCATCTGCTAAATCACAGAAAAATCAAAGGAATACCGAAAAAACATCTACTTCTTCATTGACTATGCTAAAGCCTTTGAATGTGTGCATAACAACAAACTGTGGAAAATTATTCAAGAGATGGGAATACCAGACCACCATATTTGTCTCTTGAGAAGCCTGTATGTAGGACAAGAAGCAACAGTTAGAAATGGACATGGAACAACGAACTGTTTCAAAATTGGGTAAGAAGTATGTCAGAGCTGTATATTGTCACCTTGCTTATTTAATGTCTATCCAGAGTACATCATGTGAGATGCTGGGCTGGATGACTCACAAACTGGGATCAAGTTTGCTGGGAGAAACATCAACAACCTCAGGTATGAAGATGTTACCACTTTAATGGTAGAAAGTGAAGAAGAACTAAAGAGCCTCTTGATGTAGGTGAAAGAGGAGAGTTAAAAGCTGGCTTAATACTCAACATTCAAAAAACTGAGATCATGGTATCTGGTCCCATTAATTCATGGTGAATAGATAGAGAAAAAGTGGAAACAGTGATAGATCTTATCTTCTTGGGCTCCAAAATCATTGCAGATGATGACTGTAGTCACGAAATTAAAAGACACTTGCTCCTTGGAAGAAAAGCTTTGACAAACGTAGACAAAATATTAAAAAGCAGAGGTATCACTTTACCAGCAAAGGTCCATATAATAAAAGCTTTGGTTTTTCCAGTAGTCATATGGGGATGTGAGCATTGGACCATAAAGAAAAGCTGAACACTGAAGAATTGACACTTTCAAACTGTGGTGCCTAAGAAGACTCTTGAGGATCCCTTGAAATGCAAGGAGATCACACAACTCACTCCTAAAGGAAATCAATATTCTGAATATTCATTGAAAGGACTGATGCTGAAGCTGAAGCTCCAATACTTTGACCACCTGATGCAGAGTTGACTCTGATGCTAGGAAAGTTTGAGGGCAACAGGAGAAGAGGGTGACAGAGGATGAGACTGTTGGATTGCATCTGTGACTCAATGGACATGAGTTTGAGCAAACTCTTAAGAGACAGTGAAGGAAAGGGAAGCCTGGTATGCTGTAGTTCATGGGGTCGCCAAGTCGGACACAATTTAGTGACTGAACAACAGCAACCAGTGCCCTAAGTGTTGCCCTTTGTTTCTCTGAGTCTCCTGATAACCAGGGTTTCTGTTATGTTTATTCCTTTAATACAGTTAAAATGCTGAAGTTGCACTTACCTTAGGATCACATTCAAAATGCTCCTTATATTGATGATAACTTCCCAGTCCACTTTACCTCCTGGGGATAACTAAATCTGTCTTCACATTCTCTTTTAAAGG